ATGTTTTTCTCTGTGTCTCCCCCTCCTTTCCACTCTGTCTAAAAAAAAAATCAATGGAAAAAATATCCTCCTGTGAGGATTAACAACAACAACAACAAAAGGATAAGTTTAGTAAGGAGCGATGATTCTTCGCTTACCCAATTACATAGCAAAGTATCTTTCACTTGTATGTCAGGGAGAACAGAGCAAGAGGGTGACAAAAATTTCTACTAATAGGGTGGTTTCAAGGATTAAAGGGATAACATGTAAAACATCTGGCTCACTCCAAAGGCTAGATTCATTCTCTTCCCATTTCACTATTTATCATATTCTTATTAACATAATAAAATCAGTTTTGAGTCTACAAGTAATATGGCTTAAAGGAGAGCTGTATTGATAGAGTGTTTGGAAATGGAAGCTGTGAGGAAAAGCTCAGGAAAATAGTGGGATTTCTTCGCATATGGCCGTAAAATGCCAGGGAACCTTTGAAAGGAAGGTGAGCCAATGCTATATAGAAGGTCATCTTTGGAGCCAATGTGCTGAAGAGTTGGGAGGCTCTGCAGAATGTTAAGTGAAATCTCTGTTGAAGGAAATCAGAACATTTGAGCTAGAGAATGTAAAACTGAGAAGTAACCTGGATTATAAGGAGATTACATGTTAAGAGGTGTGTCTTAGCGCCATTAAAAGTACAGAATCTTCATAGAAAAAATAATGTGGAAAAATTTACTTTAACCACAGCACTAGAATTTTGTATTAATCAGGAAGATTTATTTGATAATAAGAGCTTTAAATGCCACAGCATGACATCAACAGCAACACAGTTCTTATCCATGGGGAAAATGTCATTTTTCTGGAACTGTTTGAAAATAAGAGTGCATTTGGAGAGCATCTCAGTTTCTTCAATCTGTGATATGCTAACGTTAAAAACAATATGTGTAATATGTCTTCTTACGAGCCTGAACATAAGAATGTGGTTGTCATAATAATATCAAAATAACATTTCTCTGACTAGTCCTCTAGTTGCCAGTAATTTCTTTAGAAAGATTTCAGGGCTATCTCAGGTGTGCTTTTAAAATTTTTTTTTAATTTTAAAAAATGCATATTTTTATTGATTTCAGAGATGAAAGGAGAGGGAGAGAGAGAGAGATACACATCAGTGATGAGAGAGAATCATTGATTGGCTGCCTAATGCATGCCCCACACTGGGGATTGAGCCCGCAACTGGGACACGTGCCCTGACCGGTATCGAACCATGACCTTCTAGTACATAGATGGATGCTCAACCACTGAGCCACGCCGGCCAGGCCAATTTTAAAAATAACACACTGTTTTCAAGATTTTTAAGCACAGATCTCTAATATAAGACTATCAACCTATTTAGAAATTATATACTTGTACTTGTGTACTAATACTAATACTACAAGCAAATTATTAGAGATATGCAAGAAAGGAATTAAGAAAGATGAAATATAATTAGATATTCTAAAAGTTTCTTCCTCCTTGCACACTTCTGGGGCTTATGTGTCCTATTTTGGAGACCACTATACAACATCCTTCCTTAAGCAAAGGCACTTTGCTTGCTCATAAGAAAATAAGGAGAGTTTTTTATTGGGGACATGGGATAGAGAGAAACAACTGGATTTTGCATTGTAACCCATTTTTACTAGTTACATTAATGAGAAAGAGCACTGGGAAGCCAGAAGATATAAATATCAGCCCAACTATGGAACTTGGGCAATTCTCTTAAATCTTTTAATCTGTTCCTCTTTTGTAAAACTGAATGGGTTGCTGTGATGATCAAATGGGCTATATAATAATGGGTATATTTTCTTAAGGTTGACAGATGGCAGATACCACGCTGCTGGATATATATATATAATCTTGATTTCAGAGGGGAAGGGAAAGGGAGAGAGAGATAGAAACATCAATGATGAGAGAGAATCATTGGTAGGCTGCCTCCCGCACTGCCCCACTGGGGATCAAGTCTGCAACCTGGGCATGTGGCCTGACCAGGAATCAAACCATGACCTCCTGATTCATAGGTCAATGCTTAACCACTGAACCATGCCGGCTGGGCTCATGCTGGGCTCTTAATGTCCTGTCACTCTGATCCTTATAGTAACTCTTCTGGATAGAAATTATTTTATCCCCTTCACAGATGAATGAGTTGTGGCTCACAGATACTATGGTCAAGGTTCCTCATCTAATAAGGAGCCTCTTTGGATTTTATTGCCAAGCACTTGACATCATCCTACTACCTCTCAAACTAAAGTTCTAATTCCATTTGATTGTGGGCTTCCAAAGGTTGGGGATGTCTAATCATTAGATTCTTTATCACTCAGAGCTCAATGGGAAGCTCGGTAATTTCAAACATTTGTTTAATTGCGTGTAAATGAGATAGAGACCTTAAACCAGTGGTTCTCAACCTTCCTAATGCCGCAACCCTTTAATACAGTTCCTCATGTTGTGGTGACCCTCAACCATAAAATTATTTCTGTTGCTACTTCATAACTGTAATTTTGCTACTGTTATGAATCGTAATGTAAATATCTGATATGCAGGATGTATTTTCATTGTTACAAATTGAACATAATTAAAGCATAGTGATTAATCACAAAAACAATATGTAATTATATATGTGTTTTCTGATGGTCTTAGGCGACCCCTGTGAAATGGCCGTTCGACCCCAAAGGGGTCGCGACCCACAGGTTGAGAACTGCTGCCTTAAACTCTATATAATGATTTTGAAGCAAGCAATACATTTAGTAGTCCCATTTCAGTCCCTTTTCTTACTTCAGTGACTCAACATAAGTGATTGCTAAAGCGTAAGAATCTTAGTGCTAATTGTATTTCATTCAAAAATGAGTTCTTCAAACTTAATTTGTAAAATGTTTACATAGATATAAATATATACCTACATGTTGATTATTGAGAGTGAT